TGCCTTTGGTGTTGCCGCAAAAAGGTCCTCCCTTGTGCATGTGGCAGGGCTCAGGGTGCATTGCAGCAGGTGGTCAGTGGTTTGCTCCTCTCCATGCTCGCATGTCGTGGATTCCATTTTGTAGCCCCATCTCTCAAGGTTGGCTCTGCATCTCGTGGTGCCAGAGCACAGTCTGTCCAGCGCCTTCCAAGTCACCCAGTCTTCTGTGTGCCCAGGAGGGAGTCTCTCATTGATTGACATTCTGGGTTTGAGCCTGCCACTTTTGGACTCTTGCTTGCTGAGGTGTTCCAGCGAGTGTCTCTGTAGATCTTAGAAAGCTATTTCTTGATTTAAATTATTGACGTGCTGGCTGATACCCAAACAAGGGATGAGCTGGAGATGTCTCTGCCCTGGTCCTTTCACTATTGGCTGCTACTTCCCGGCAGATGTCAGCTGGTGCAATACCGGCTAGACAGTGTAATTTCTCCAACAATGTAGGGCGCAGACACCCCGTGATACTGTGGCATGTCTCATTAAGAGCCACATCCACTGTTTGAGCATGGTGAGATGTGTTCCACACTGGGCATGCATACTCAGCAGCAGAGTAGCACAGCGCAAGGGCAGATGTCTTCACTGTGTCTGGTTGTGATCCCCAGGTTGTGCCAGTCAGCTTTCGTATGATATTGTTTCTAGCACCCACGTTTTGCTTGATGTTCAGGCAGTGCTTCTTGTCGGTCAGAGCACGGTCCAGAGTGACTCCCAGGTATTTGGGTGCACTGCAATGCTCCAGTGGGATTCCTTCCCAGGTCATCCTCAGAGCTCGGGATGCTTCTCTGTTCTTGAGATGAAAGGCACATGTCTGTGTTTTAGATGGGTTAGGAGTCAGCTGGTTTTCCCTGTAATAGGCAGTAAAGGCAGCTAGAGCTTCGGAGAGCTTCTGTTCAACCATCTCAAAGCTCCCTGCTTGAGTGGTGATGGCACAATCATCAGCATAGATGAAGCTCTCTGTCCCTTCTGGCAGTGGCTGGTCATTTGTGTCGATGTTGAACATGGATGGAGCAAGCACGCTCCCCTGAGGCAGGCCGTTCTTCTGTTTCCGCCATCTACTTCTCTGGCCTTGGAACTCAACAAAAAAGCTCCTGTTTTGTAGCAGGTTTCCTATGATGCGAGCGAGGTGGTCGTCCTTTGTGATATTATACATTTTTCTCAGGAGGAGGCGGTGGTTCACAGTAAATGACTGTGTAGCAATAAACCAATTACACAAGAAACTAGGACATTAAATATATATAATTAAAAGCTATGATACTTCATTTTGTTGATGGGAAGCTTCCTACCGGAGTGGAAATCATCTATTGAACAGAGGGCAAGCTGTTAAAGCTCAGCAGGCTGAAAACCAAAATCAAGGTCGCAACAACATCTCTTATAGAACTCCGTTATGCCGATGATAATGTAGTCTGTGCGCATTCAGACTACATTATCATCAGCATGTAATCTACAACATCTATTACAGAACTCCAATATGCTGAAGATAACATAGTCTCCCTTTATGCCTCTTTGAATTCCGCAGCACTGCTGGGCACAGCTAACCTCCAGTTAGAGCAGTGGTTCTCAACCTGGGAACCCCAGATGTTTTTGGCCTACAACTCCCAGAAATCCCTGCCAGTTTACCAGCTATTGGGATTTCTGGGATTTGAAGACCAAAACCATCCAGGGACCCCAGGTTGAGAACCACCGTTCTAACTGGAGGTCAGCTGTGCCCAGCAGTGCTGCGGAATTTGATGAGGCATGAAAGGGAAAAGCGTGCCAAGAGAAAGGCACATCAAGTCAATGCTGACCGGGCCCGCCTTCCACCTGGAAACCAATGTCTTCACTGCGGAAGAACATGCAGACCAAGAATAGGACTCCACAGCCATCTCTATATATGATAATATGATATTGTAATTATATATTTATATTACATGTAATATTAATAATAATATTACAATATAATTGGTATAGTACAATATAGCAGTGTTTAATGCTGATATTGTACTATGCTAATAGTATAGTTTATTGTATGTATATATACCTTGTAAGCCGCTCTGAGTCCCCTTCGGGGTGAGAAGGGAGGCATAGTAATGTCATAAATAAATAGATAGATAAATCTATGGACCCACCAGCAAAACACTATACTTAGAGGACCATCATCCTTGGACAACAATGGATCGCCTAAGTAAGTAAGCAAAAGTAAGTCTGTGAGAGAAGCTTCAGTGTGAGATAAGCCTTAGTCTGCGAGAACTCCTCAGAGTGTTAGAAGACCTGGTGTGAGAAGCTTCTGTGAACGTAGGTCTCCAAGAATAGGTCTCCACAGCCACCTATGGTCCCACCACCAAGACACTATACTTGGAGGACGATCATCCTCGAGGTATGTGGTATCGCCTAAGTAAAGTATGAGAAGGTCTCTGTGTCAGTTCGCCTCAGTGTGAGAGAGGCGTCAGTCTGAGAGAACCCTCAATGGGAGAAAGGCCTCAGTGTGAGGTACGTTTCAGTGTAATAGGCCTGGGTGTGAGTAGGCCTGATGTGTAACCCACCACCAAGACATTACACTTGGAGGACCATCATCCTCGAACTATGTGGTATCACCTAAGTAAAGTATGAGAAGGTCTCTGTGTCAGTTCACCTCAGTGTGAGAGGCGTCAGTCTGAGAGAGCCCTCAATGGGAGAAAAGCCTCAGTGTGAGGTACGTTTCAGTGTAATAGGCCTGGGTGTGAGTAGGCCTGGTGTGTTACCCACCACCAAGACTCTACACTTGGAGAACCATCATCCTTGAGCTATGTGGAATCGCCTAAGTAAAGTATGAGAAGTTCTCTGTGTCAGTTCGCCTCAGTGTGAGAGAGGTGTCAGTCTGAGAGCCCTCAATGGGAGCAAGGCCTCAGTGTGAGGTACGCTTCAGTGTAATAGGCCTGGGTGTGAGTAGGCCTGGTGTGTGACCCACCACCAAGACACTACCATCATCCTCGAGCTATGTGGAAACGCCTAAGTAAAGTATAAGAAAGTCTCCATGTTAGTTCACCTCAGTGTGAGAAAGGCATCAATCTGAGAGAACCCTCAGTGGGAGAAAGGCCTCAGTGTGAGGTACGCTTCAGTGTAGGAGGCCTCAGTGTGAGTAGGTCTTGTGTGTGACCCACCACCAAGACACTACACTTGGAGGACCATCATCCTCGAGCTATGTGGGATCACCTAAGTAAAATATAAGGTCTCCCTGTTTGCCTCAGTGTAAGAGAGGCATCAATCTGAGAGAGCCCTCAGTGGGAGAAAGGCTTCAGTGTCGTAGGCCTCAGTATGAGTAGGCCTGGTGTGTGACCCACCACCAAGACACTAAATTTGGAGGACCATCATCCTCGGACAACGAGGGATCGCCTATGTAGAGTAAGTAAGGGACTTGGTGAGCAAAATTGTCCATATGAGAAAAGAAGTCCCCACCAAGCCTGTTCTCCTTTGGGAGAAAAATTAGGGAGGGAGAGAAGGAAAGAAAGAGAGAGGGAAAGACAATTTTCCCGATTTAAATCTCTTTGGCACGAGGCAAGGATTCCAGTTCCCCGCCAGTCTCCCCTTAATAGGAGTGTGAAAAGACTCGACCTGACAGCTCATTACAATGTGAGCCCTCCCTCTCCAGAAAGGGTCTCCCCTCCTTCCGTATTTTTCCCCCTCCTCCTTCTCTTTTCTCTCCCCCTTCATCCTGCAAAACTCGTATTTATTTGCTGGCTTACGGCTTTTGATTTTTCTCCCCCCTCCCGCCCTCCTTGCTGGAAGGCACCGAAGCGAAGAGCTCAAACCCAGAGACACCTCCAAGGAGGAAGAGCGGAGAAGGAGATCCGGCAACAGAGAAAGCAGAGAAGTTGGATGCGGAGTGAAATTTCGCTCCCAATACATTTCCATTTGTGGAAGGAGCGAGATACTTCAAACGACGAAGGCTTTGAGATCTCTATCCGCATCTTTCTATAGGACCTTTCCCACTTTGAGGACATCTTCCCATGTTCCAGAAGAATGTACAAGTGTGGAGATGTTTCCGAGATGATTGGCAACACAAATCCTTGTTTTCCATGACTGTTGTTGGATTTTCGGAAATCCTCTTGCTTTAGATTCGAACATTGTGTTTTGGGTGTCACTTGAAGGCGATCCAGTGTGAAATATTCAGATTCGAACGTTGTGTTTTGGGTGTCACCTGAATACAATCCAGAGTGAAATCTTCATATTCGAACGTTGTGTTTTGGGTGTCACTTGAAGGAGATCCAGAGTGAAATATTTGGATTCAAACATTGTGATTTGGGTGTCACTTGAAGGAGATCCGGTGTGAAATCTTCGAATTCGAACGTTGTGTTTTGAGTGTCACTTGAAGGAGATCCAGAGTGAAATCTTCAGATTCGAACGTTGTGTTTTGGGTGCCACTTAAAGGCGATCCAGAGTGAAATCTTCATATTCGAACATTGTGTTTTGGGTGCCACTTGAAGGAGATCCAGAGTGAAATCTTTGGATTCAAACGTTGTGTTTTTGGTGTCATTTGAAGGAGATCCATTGTGAAATCTTCAGATTCAAATGTTGTGATTTCGGTTTCACTTGAAGGCAATCCAGCGTGAAATTTTCAGATTCAAACGTTGTGATTTGGGTGTCACTTGAAGGAGATCGAGTATGAAATCTTCGAATTCGAACATTGTGTTTTGAGTGTCACTTGAAGGTGATCCAGTGTGAAATCTTCGGATTCAAACGCTGTGTTTTGGGCGTCACTTAAAGGCGATCCAGCGTGAAATCTTCAGATTCAAACATTGTGTTTTGAGTGTCACTTGAAGGCGATCCAGAGTGAAATCTTCAGATTCGAACGTTGTGTTTTGGATGTCACCTGAAGGCGATCCAGTGTGAAGTCTGCTTAGGATTTGAACGTTGGGTTTTGGGTGTCAGTTGAATGCGATCCAGCGTGACATCTGCGCAGACCATCGGCTCGTATCTATCCATCAGTTTGGTTTCTGATTTCAAGCCATGACTCTGCATCGTTTGGGATCTCTTCTGGCTTAATCATTCGTCCAAGCCACCAAAGCGACTTGGAATGCTCGTCTATCATTTGTGATCGGGACTCAAGTCGGCAAAGAGAAGGATACGCCGTTCGATCACTCTTCTTTTCAGAACTTTTTGGAGTTTTGTCTCCCGTCTTTTTCCCACTCGGAAGATGTGGCACAAAACCAAGACACGCTATTGGAGTTGGCTGCTTTTGGCAGCCTTGTTGAGCCAGGACTTGTGGTGTTTCCAAGCTGTCGCGGCGAAGAGAGAGCGGAAGAAAGCCAAAGAGCCCAACCAATACACGGAGCCCCTCAACACCACTCTGTCCAATAGCGAGGAATTGAACGGACACTCCAAGGTAGGTTTGCAAAGCAGATAGGACATGTAGAGTTGGAGGGGATCGCAAGGACCATCCAGTCCAACACACCTTTTGTCAGGCAGGAAAGCACAATCAAAGCCCTCCCAATAGATGGCCATCCAGCCTCTGCTTTAAAAAATCCAGAGAAGAATTTCCTACCATAAAAGTGATGTAATTTAGGGAATTGCATTGTTCCAATGAGAGGTACATAGCTTGGAGAGTTCTATCGCTTCACCAAACTGTAACTCCCAGGTTCTATAGCATAGAGTTGGAAGGGATCTCAAGGATCATCTGGTCCAACCCATCTTTTGTCGGGCAGGAAAGCACAATCAAAACCCTCCCAACAACTCCCAGGTTCTATAGCATAGAGTTGGAAGGGACCTCAAGGATCATCTGGTCCAACCCACCTTTTGTCAGTCAGGAAAGGACAGTCAAAACTCTCCCAACAGATGGCCATCCAGCCTCTGCTTTAAAAAAATCCAGAGAAGGATGTTCTACAATTAGGGAATTGTGTTGTGCCAATGAGTGTTACATAGCTTGGAGAGTTCTATCGCTTCACCAAACTACAACTCCCAGGTTCTATAGCATAGAGTTGGAAGGGACCTCAAGGATCATCTGGTCCAACCCATCTTTTGTCAGGCAGGAAAGCACAATCAAAACCCTCCCAACAGATGGCCATCCAGCCTCTGCTTTAAAAAATCCAGAGAAGGATATCCTACCATTAGGGAATTGTGTTGTGCCAATGAGAGGTATATAGCTTGGAGAGTTCTATTGCTTCACCAAACTACAACTTCCATGTTCTATAGCATAGAGTTGGAAGGGATCTCAAGGACCATTTGGTCCAACCCACATTTTGTCAGGCAGGAAAGTACAATCAAAGCCCTCTGGTCAGATGTCCATCCACTTAAAAGAACCCAGAGAAGGATGTCATACCATAAAAGTGATGTAATTTAGGGAATTGTGTTGTGTCAATGAGAGGTACATAGCTTGGAGAGTTCTAGCGCTTTACCAAACTACAACTCCCAGGTTCTGTAGCACTGATCCATGGCAGTATTTATCAAACAGCACTAATTCTAGAGTGTAGTTTAGTGTTTCTCAACCTTCTGAATGCCGTGACCCTTATGTTGTGGTGACCCCCAACCATAACATTATTTTTCATTGCTACTTCATAACTGGAAGTTTGCCACTGTTTTGAATTGGAATATAAATATCTGATATGCAGGATGTATTTTCATTCACTGGACCAAATTTGGCACAAATACCGATACACTCAAATTTGAATACTGGTGGGGTTGGGGGGAAAATAGACCTTGACATTTGGTCATTGTAGTTGCTGGGATTTATAGTTCACTTACAATCAAAGAGCATTCTGAACTCCACCAACAATGGAATTGAACCGAACTTGGCACACAGAACTCCCAATAAAAAATACTGGAAGGGTTTGGTGGGCTTTGACCTTGAGTTTTGGAGTTGTAGTTCACCCCCATCCAGAAGTACCGTGGACTCAAACAATGATGGATCTTGTTTTGAATAATTCTTGCTCTCAGTTATCTAAAGAGATATGATTGAAAAGAAGAAGACGACAAGAAGGGCAAAGGAATAGTCTTGCAGTCCATTTCTCTGTGTCTGTGGTTCCCAACTTTTTTTTTTTTTACCAGGGACTACTCTCTAATATTAGTACCAAAAGGGTTATGAATCAGTGTTTGGTCAACTTTAGATTCGATTTGGTTATTGGGGGCCGGAGGTTTAGCACAGCTGTAAATCATCAGCAATTATAAGATCTATCAACCAAAAGGTTGCAAGTTCAAAGCCCTGGGTTGGCGTGAGCTGCCAACTGTCGGCCTAGCTCATTGTTTACCTAAGCAATTCGAAAACAGCTTTAGCTGTGATTAGAGAAATTAGGTACCGTTAAAAACCGGGGGAGGTGTTTTATGACGCCATAAAGAAAGAAGATCAGAAAATGCTGGGAGACCAAAAGGAAGGAGGAAGTCCTGTTGGCTCTTCGTCACAGAGGATAGAGCAACAACAGTCCCTGGACTTGAGCCCAATCTTCCATGGCACCTCCTTTTGTTCTGTCTGTCTGTGTATTGTCATTGAATGTCTGCCATGTATGTGTACTGTGATCCGCCCTGAGTCCCCTTCAGAGTGAGAAGGGCGGAATATAAATATGACTTCCTCCCACATATTTATACTTGGCTAATATGTCTCCTCTCCGCCTTCTCTTCTGAAGGCTAAACATGCCCAGCTCTTTAAACCGCTCCTCATAGGGCTTGTTCTCCAGACCCTTTTGAGTCACCCTCTTCCTCTGGACACATTCCAGCTTGTTAATATCTCTCTTCAATTGTGGTGCCCAAAACTGGACACAATATTCCAAGTGTGGTCTAACCAAGGCAGAATAGAGCATGGGGAGCATGACCTGCGCACTCTGTCTCTGTTTACAAAAGCCTTGCCTTCTGTCCACACTCTCATTAACTTGACTCTCATTAACTTCTGCACCTGACAAATCATCTTCGGGCAGTTGCTCTGAGAAAGACGGTGAAGGGTCTCACCCAGGAATGTGGCCTTGTGAATCTTCCTGAGACAGCTCGGACCTCTCATCTGTGCTTAACTCATGCCCAGGCAAACCCTCATCCACGTTGCCAACAGACTTAGTCCCACCATCAGGAACATCACCCCCATTCCCATCATGGACATCAGACACAATCACAGGCCAACACTTCTGACTTAGGATGGAGTTCTCGTGGCAAGAGGGGGTTCGAGGCTGAAAGAGTGTGGACTTAAATGGCTGAACAGGAACACATTGAGATCAGTGTTGAGATCCTGCCATTAGCCCTTCCCAGAGGGTCCTGGGCCGAAAGTTGGGCCACGTGAACCGAATGCGCCTTTGGAAGCAGACCCTTTCCCATCTTCCATGTCCTATTTACTTGATCCAAGGCTATTAAAGAATATTGAAAGCAGAGTCGGATGTACTTAGGCGATCCCTCGTTGTCCGAGTAGGATAGTCTTCCAAGATCAGTGTGCTGGCGAGTCCATAGGTGACTGGAGCCCTATTCTTGACCTGCATCTTCTCCCGCAGTGAGGGCATTGGTTTCCAGGTGGAAGGCGGTTTCAGTCGGGGTCTTCCTCTTGGCACATTTCTTTCTTTCGCCCTCCATTCGTGCCTCCTCAAATTCTACAGCACTGCTGGTCACAGCTGACCTCCAGCTGGAGCGCTCAAGGGCCAGGGCTTCCCAGTTCTCAGTGTCTAAGCCAGAGTTTTTAAGGCTGGCTTTGAGCCCATCTTTCAACCTCTTTTCCTCCCCACCAACATCCTGTTTTCCATTCTTGAGTTTGGAGTAGAGCAACTGCTTTGGGAGACGGTGATTGGGCATCCAAACAATGTGGACGGTCCAGCGGAGTTGGTGGCGGAGGACCATCGCTTCAATGCTGGTGGTGTTGCTTCTTCCAGCATGCTGACATTTCCTCGCTTGTCTTCCCAAGAGATTTGCAGGAATTTTCAGAGGCAACACTGATGGAATCGTTCTAGGACTTGCATGTGATGTCAGCAGACAGTCCACATCCCGCAGGTGTATAGCAGGGTTGTGAGGACAAAACTTTCTTAAAAAGCACCTTGATACCCCTATGGATATCCCGGTCTTCAAATACTCTCTGCTTCATTTGGGAAAAAAGCTGCACTTGCAGAGCTCAGGCGGTCTTGTATTTCAGTGTCAGTGTTGACTTTTGTGGAGAGGTGGTGGCCACAGCAGGGTTGGGAGGAAAATGGCTTTATAAACAAGCACCTTGCTATCCCTACGAATGTCCCAGTCCTCAAACACTCTCTGCTTCATTCGGGGAAAAAAGCTGCACTCGCAGAGCTCAAGCGGTGTTGCATTTCAGTGTCAATGTTGACTTTTGTGGAGAGGTGGCTGCCAAGGTAGTGGAAATGATCAACATTTTCTAATGTTACACCATTCTGGCATTGGAGAGGGATTGGCTAGTGACTACTGGAAGAGCATACAACACCACCTGAGCTCTGCGAGTGCAACTTTTTTCCGAATGAAGCAGAGAGTGTTTTCTTGATGTTCAATGACAGGCCGAGCTTCTCATATGCTTCTGCGAAGGTGTTTAGAGTGGCTTGTAGGTCTTCTTCTGAATGGGCACAGATGACGTTGTCATCAGCATACTGGAGTTCTATAACAGATGTTGTTGCAGCCTTGGTTTTGGCTTTCAGTCGGATGTGGCACCTGGGACACTTTAGGGCTTGCCTCGTCTCCAACAGTGGGGAGCGGAGTCAGTAATCCCTCCACAACCACAAAGTTCGAGGGCTTACTAACCTTTTGTTCCAGTTTGGTTGGAACTCCTTCGAGGCGTCCTTTGGCTAATCTGCGGCTGTCTGCATAGGCGGCTCCGCAGACAATTACCCCATTGTGGTTAATTAGCTAACAGGGGCCTCATTACCCTCCCAGGAAGAAAGGAGAGTCAGAGCTTTTCCTTGTTGTGTTCTCTTTACACAATTAGTAGTGTGTCTTCATTAGCTCCCTTTGTCTGATGCAGTGAGTCACTTTTTGAACTGGAAAGAAACTTGGGTACATGGATATCAGTGATTCTCAACCTGGGGGTCACGGCCACTGGGAGGGTTGCGGAGGGGTGTGAGAGGGGTCTCCCATGGCCATTGGAACACACATATTTCTGATGGTCTTAGGAACCCCTTTGGCAGAGAAGGCTGAAGATCTCTTCACCTGTCCTTCTCTTCCTTTTTGATGGCAAATCCTCCCACCAAAAACCCTCCTCCTGCTTTCTGGGTATAGGTGAACTACAACTCCCAAACTCAAGGTCAATGCCCACCAAATACTTCCAGTATTTTCTGTACTTCATGGGAGTTCTGTATGCCAAGTTTGGTTCAATTCCATAATTGGTGGAGTTCAGAATGCTCCTTGATTGAAGGTGAACTATAAATCCCAGTGATTACAACTCCAAAATGTCAAGGTCGATTTTCCCAGAGGCGGCCCTAGGTTATTTTC